GTTTCTTAGTAGTTTGCTGGCTGAAAATTCTTAAGATGTCGGGTACGACATATCATAGTTAATGTTGCAGACGTCGAAAGATAGTTGATATGCAAACGATCCCTCTATTGGTTAAGCTTTTGTTAGATCGTGATGGATCTGTGTGGTGTATATTAGCTGCTCTTTGTCTTTTGTACTATTGACTATGATAAATCTTTCCCGAAACCATTAGAGTTTTCAGCAAATAAGTTACTAAGAAATGTGCAATATAATGGCATTATTATGATAAAATAATTAATACGGTAAACAAATAGGAAGATGGCTCCTCAAGGAAAAAGAAACAAAAATATAATTTCGCTTACATCTTAAAATACGAGTCGGCTATATCCATATGATCATAATTGCGATAAAAGCATAGGTATCAATGGAACTCGATGATTCCATGATGATTCTGAGATAGAAACTCGGCTATGGCGTCTTGTTATCTTGTTTGACATCAAAAGTATATGCACTGAATAAGCTTTCCTTTAATTCTATTTTTTTTGTATTCATATGTCTGAGTAGTTCTTGGATAAAAGTCAGCATTCCTTATATATACGTATACTTATGTATCGTTAGCGAGGAGTAAAAAACTGAAAATATCTTGCTTCATCGTACGTCAGCGTACTCTGAAGGTATATCCAAGCTATTCCATCGAACCTCTTAGGTATTTCAGCTCGAAAATTACCATGTATCATGAGCATATTAGTTTGAGTGCATTTTATATTAATCTGTTTCGCAATGAAGCTCATATACTTTATTGCACTTCAAAATTTGAGTATCATTGAAGTATGATGAGGTATTCGGGTTTTATTAGCGTAAAGATTTGTATAGACTGAACTCAAACCGAAATGCTCGTGACAGACGTTGATACTAGTCTTCGACTGCCTGAGAAACTATCGAGAATAGCTTTGACATACCCTTAAAGTACGCTAAATTACACTGAAATATGATTGAAGCAAGGAATTTTCACTTTTCCTCCTCGGTCATTAGTCTCTATGAGCGCAGTCTATCAGATGGAAAATTTTGAAGATTGCCAGGGAACGACTGACATTTATTCAAGAAAGCTACTTAATTTGCAAGTAGAAAAAAGTAACGATTTCTGTAAAAATATTTCTTCAATGAAAACACTCCATGTTGTTGTGGACTCAATTTCATGAATAGCATTATAAATTCATCAATTACCGGTAACAGAAAAAAAGAAGAAACAAAAATGAATATTTTACAATACCTCAATTTGATTGCTGAAGGAACGAAACTTAGTAAGAGGTATTGAGAGAAAACACAGAGACAATAAAAAATGAACGACGACTCTTATCAGTATTAGTTATAAATCGAGTTTGAAAAGAATAAAAAATGATTTATATTAAACTATTATCTATTGAATGAATAGGTTTTAAAAAGTAGCTGTAAGCGCAGTCTCTGTGGGACTACAATGTGCTATATGATGTAGCTATTGTTGCTGATCACATGAAAATTCTTTTTTTTGATTTGTTTTGGTACAAATGTCTTCTTTATTGTTTAATTGATTCTCTATAACTGCAATAAGAAAGTAGTTCATATATTCTAAAGAGATTGCTAGTGATACATGGTCTGTGTTGTTCTCTGGGAGCCATCTATCTAAGGAAATGTTTTTCAAAACTCTGTTCTCAGCAATTTCTTGTATGATCAAGTTGGCTACTCTGATTAAGGGTGTGACTGTATCCCACGACAAATAATTTGAATCACAACTGTAGTAAACCACGATATTATAAAAGAGGCCGGCATTAACTGTATTTCGACACCCCGCTGATACGATTCGCTGCGGTGCGCTCAAATAAAATCGAGGGGTTGTCACTGCCGAAAACTGCGGTCTCAAAAAAGTTTGGTATAGTAGAATCTGGTCGAACGATTTAGAATTGCGGCTGTTGACATTTTTTGTATACAGCGAAATAGTTCTCACAAACCGCGATCTCTGAATACAGTTCAACGTCACGATTAGTTAAACCGCGGTAATCACAGTTCGAATATTTTTCGTTCCACACCACACATTTCCATTAACTGACACTGCAGTTTTCATACATGGAATCGCGGTGTGATAAAATAAGACTCTTTCAGCACATGAGTTTCTAATTACGACTATGACTAGGCTCTCTTTCTTCATAAGAAAATCACGGTTGTTACGAGAAAAATGTTTAGGACATGCAAATAAAATGTGATGACATATAGGGTCAAATCGTAATGTTGAGATTGATATGAATAACTATCTAAAATATCATTTAAAGGTAAAGAAGCACTTGCTTAAAAGCTTCCAATACTTTCCTATTTAGAGTAGTTGAGTCGAGATATGTAAAACTAATAGAAATCAAGATTTATCTAAGCGTAGTTTTAAATCATCTCTAGACTTGTGATTAGACCTGCAACTTTTCCGTTTTTCATCGCACCATGCTCTCAGAGAATCGGAATTTCTTTCAAATACAGCTCTATTCCATGGAATTGTCTTGATGAAATTCTAGTTCTGTCGGTGGAAGATAGGCATGTTATCTGGAAGGTATTACGTCAAGTCTATGACAGATATAAATATCTCAGGAGCTCTGAATCGTAGCAGTAGCACACGAAAATTCAAAGATTTCTAGGAAGAATGCTCTTTCTGTGCATACACGCTACAATCTCGGATACTTCTTGGTTCTAATCAGAAACAAGATCACGTTTGCTTCTTCTATAAATATCACGATATAGTTCAATGAAATGATGCGGCTACAATCATAAGAAAAGAAGTTCCAATCTCACGAGAAGCAAAAGGAATATCAATGATCGATGGTGTCATAGAGATTGATCGGCGCATCGCACCATCGCACTGCTAATAAAGCTCCAACCGCGATTTCAGCTAGTCAACAAGTAGAATAAGTGACAGAGGCCTTTAGACAAAATCATTGCCTCTGGAACCACAAGTAAATTTTTCTTGAAACCGTTGATAATCGCCCTAGGGGCGAAAAGCGTATTTCTGTATTTCTATGTATTTCTACGTATTTCTATGTATTTCCAGGTATTTCTAAGTATTTCTAGGTATTTCCAGGTATTTCTACCCATACTACATAGAAATACATAGAAGTACCTAGAAGTACCTAGCAATAGTTAGAAATACCTAGAAATACCTAGAAATACTTAGAAATACCTGGAAATACCTGGAAATACCTAGAAATACCTGTAACTTTTCAGGTATTTCTAAGTATTTCCAGGTATTTCCAGGTATTTCTAAGTATTTCTAAGTATTTCTGAAATAGAGAAATACTTAGAAATACGCTTTTTCCCCCTTGTAATCGCCACTCTCGGAAACCGCGAGGATGAGGCCATTTGTTAGGTTTTCGGGAACCGCCTGAAACCGCGGTCATCTATGCTGCAATTTTAGGCGATGTATATAAACCTAGTAAACGATCTGACTCCCGCGGTTTATATTTACCAGCAGAAACTCCGACTTTTCAAGCCATGATCAGTCGCGAGTTTAGTGAAAAATATGATCTGTGAGGAGTAAAGTTAAGACAATATACACCACACCCACACATGCCCATGGCAACACTCAAGCATTTTTCAGTTGAATGATAATATCCGGTCAAGGCAGAAATGCGCAAGTATGGATACAACTTATACCACTCAGTTCACAGCTAACTATTTACCGTCATGTACCACTTTGTGTCATAGGGATACATGGGCCCGATGCAAGGTGGTACATGAATTCTAGAATTCTAGATTTTTTCCGCGTATATATGATATTTTATCGATACATGAATCCGATGCAAGGTGGTACAAGGTAGTACAAGGTGGTACAGGGTGGTGCATTGTTAATTGTGAACCGAGTGGTACAAGTTGTACTCGTACTTGCGCAGCTCTCGGTTAAGGTCCTCTGAAAGAGAGTCAGTTTTCGCCAAAAACATGGACATTAAGATTAGTGTATGGAAAGATAGTCTGAAGTCTGCTCTTCCAAAAATGATATAACATTTTGTTTGGTATATCCTTTGTTCCAAGAGTTCTTGGTAGGTTTCGTTATCTCTTGAAAAGTATGCGGTTTTTAGAAAGATTGGAAAAGCGTTTTCGATTTTTCTTGCTTTATGCTTTTTGGATCCTGCAAATCAGAATTCTCTCTGGGTTTTCATTCTATATAACTATCTTTGTCTTGTCTGATAGACCATGTGAGGGTGCAGGGCATGGCAGAGTCCATTTTTTTAAAATAAGCTTTGTTACTATTATATATAAAAGAGTACTTCTATAATCAGAGCGCCATCGTTCAAGAGTTTTTCGAGACATTGAAATTTTCATTCCTATGTTCCCCTTAAAAAACAAGAATTGCAAAAAAGGACTTTGTCATGCTTTGCATCTTCAAATGTTGTCGCAAACAAAAATAATAAGTATATGCAACGAACGCCGAAAGGAATTTTTGGTTGCCTAACGGGCTATTTTTGAACATTGTTTGTTGAATGTCTCTGGAAAATATAATATATGGCTGAAAATTTTATCTTAACCTTTTCACTATAGCTTCAACATATTCTGAAAGTTTCAAGTGAGTCGGATGTTTCTAGATCAAGGTCGTTTTTTTTAGAAGAGCTTAAAACGAAGACTACTGCACACGCGGGAAGGGGGGAAGCATTATTACAATGATAATTCGCAAACATCATCTATATCTGAAGTTACCGAGAATGAAATCAATGCGCAAGCAAAAAGAATGAAAGAGCACTACCTTTATTGATGATTTGTCACATTGAACCGTCCTAGGTTCAAAGAAAGATACAACAAAGTAAAATATTCTGCGATTGATTAATTGATTTTATTTCTACAATGTGCTTTTCATAGAGGCATCTAGTAGCGCTCTCTGTTAGACAGGACTCAGCAATGTGGATTTTTTTATTGCAACGACAAACTTCTCATCGAGGACTTTTACATTCTGTATTCTTTCTGGTAACCAATATGAGAAATACAAAACAGCAGATATAAGCATCGCTCATGTATATTTATTGACGCCTTGCTGCATCCATTAAACGTTTTCTCCAATATTTCGCGAACAATATCTCATTTGGTGCACGATTATAATCAAGTGACTGCAAATATTCAATACTGAGAGCATTCCAGTCGTCAACAATAAGAACGGCTGCATCGGTAAAAAGGGGATCTAATCGTGATCGGAGTACAATAGGTACTGAACCCATCAGAATGGCCTCCCATGTGCGGTGGCAATCTAAACCGTGACCAGGTGGCGAAAGTACAAATTTGGCATTACCAAGTTCTCTTAAGTACAGTTCATGGGATGTGACCTGGGAATGTGTTACATTAGGAAGTCCAAGTGCCCATTTCAGTGCTTTCGATCTTGCTACTCGGCTGTTTTTTACTTGAAAATTAACATATAAAAGCGTTGTTCGTTGGGCGAATGGCTTTCGATCAAAATCAAACGCTTGTTTGAATACGCTAACATTTCCATGTGGCCATCGAGCGTTTGCCAGTCCAATAGGAATGGGCAGTAGCTTTTTATGTGTGTGATCAGGATTTGACGCAAACCAAGCCAAGATTTTCTCACTATCTAAGACCCATTTAAAGTGGTGAGTAGGTACCGATGCATCAGAATTGTGAGTAATAAGAACGAATGGGCGACGAATCTTGTTGAAGGTAGCATTGGCGAAAAACTTTATCAATGGAACTTCAGTTCCCAGGAATACTGTATCTCCTAAACCAATATGCGGCATTCGCTGTGCCCATTGATTTATATCTGTTGTTTCATCAAACACATGATCCGCCATTGCACGAAATGTGTCACCACTAATGAAAGGATAGGATGAGTTTCTATTCAGTGTAGCGTGTCGAAAAAAAGGCTCCATAGCAGAAAATCTATTGTCATACATAAAAGTATGCCAATGTTTAGCAGTTTCGGATGAACGTATTGTAGCCGATTGACCATCAAATATTTTGAACTTGGACTCGTGCAAGGGAGCGATGCGTACGCATACCACCAAAAGAACAAGAATCCCGCAAAATACTAACCACAGCAGACCAAAGCGATTCCCCAACGATATTCGAGAAAAAACGATACGAGTTGGCATCCGCTCACGATGCGCAATGGGTCAACAATCCTTCATGAGCTAACAAAAACAGAAAAACTTAGGCATGTTTTTATACGAGCTCTGCTTGCATTTTTTCTGAAAAGAAATTTCCGATGAATATTCTCCTCAAAAGGGTTCAACTAGTAGAACTAAAACTACATACAATTATCAATCTAACATAAGATATGCGATACAACCATGTGTTCACTCAACTCCCGTTTTTTGATAAAAATCAATATTTCCAAGCACAATAAGTTTTAGATTCGTTTGACAGTACAGTTTGAGATGTGAATACGTGTCTTAACTTCACGTACACCCACACATTGACACTATCGCAACAGAACTGATTCGGAGACAGGAATGCTTTTATACAGATAGTTTATTGCTTCTTTCAGTTCAATTGCATCAGTTTTCGCTCATACAAAAAGCATCCTTTTTAATTCTGCGGCCGGCATTTTTGGGTTCTAAACTGATCATGAACGTTAATTAGATGTCGTAGAGACAAAACAGACAACCGCTTGAATGGCACTTGTGCTTCTCTTCGAAATAGATGAACAACAGAAGTTTCAAATGACTCGAGAACTATCCAAGCTAGAGATCTTGTCAATCCATCAACTTTTACCAGTAAATTTTGCGAAGTCGCTCGCTAGGTTCGCCATAGGTTAATAATCAACCTATATGCATGAAGTATTAGAATAAATTAGTACAAGTAACTGTCATAGTAGACTAAATTCTGTCAAGGCATGGTCGATATATTCGTCGAGCAAACAGTAATAATGTTGTGCAAAGTGAAATTAGTAAAGATATAAATTTCAGAATCCGGCAAATGATCAATGAGGTAAAATTTGACGCTTAGTTTTTCATTGGTACCAAGTATTAAGTGAAAACTTAGCGCTTAATAGCTAATTGCTGCAGTAAGTCTTCACTTAACTGTTAGTGATAAGTTATGACTAATATTCTACTCCTACAAACATCATGTATCTTTGATTATTTGAGAAGGGCGTTTCTATTCTGGTAAATGAGCCTTTTCGAATGGTCAAGGACATAACATACGACTATTATTGAACAATGAACACTTGAACGAGACTAGATTTTGACGGCAACATATCACCGTATTTTCAGTAGCGAGATACAGCTCATCACGAAGAGTCATCATGAGGAATCTGAGTGTTATTAACATCGAAGTAGGATCTTGTCTTAGCGAAACGAGCACGATAGCGGTTTTGGAGAACTCAATTTTTCAGAATTTCCTTTTCTTATTTTTACCAGTGTTAACGGTCTAGGTCTCACGTCATAAAAACTATTTCAAAAGTGTTTTTATCAAACCTTCTGAATTTAAAACCTCTACAAACGCATGAAGTTTCGTTGAAATCGAAGATAATTTTCGTACTTAGCAGAGATTCAGTTAAAATTTGGGATCAGCATGACTGATAATGATTACAGTGACGCTCGGAGCAGTAAGATTGACAAACATCAAAACTCGACTCGTGACTATGACTAAAAGTTCAGTCCCGGGCGGCCACGAACTATTTTTTTTTCATGAAAAATTTGCGGGTTTTCTTCAATAATGGGACTATAGGGTGTCTTAAAAATCACCAAACAAAGAAAAAATTGGATATCTTTGCAATATTTTGATTAAAAGGTCTGATTTTTTATGGCTGATAAAGGCATGTTCATAGCTTATATGCATTAGAGAAATACCGTTAACATTTCTTTGAAATCTTTACAACTAACTTCAAAAACGACACTTTGGCCTTTCACGAGTGAAGAAAAAAGAATATATCTACTCGCGTACTGAATAGCAACCGCTTTTAATTTTTTCGGTTGATCATCCGCACTTATATATTTTGGTCTTACATCCAACTAGATTACAGATAGATGTCTTGTTGCTTAGTGTATTCTGAAAATTTCAACCATTAACAGCATAAACTCGATGACAAAACTAGAATATTGGTTTTCGCAATTCGTAGTGAGTGACAGTTCTTTGTTGAAGTGAATTATAGATACTTAAACAGATTTTTAATCCCATTTCTCTTATAAATACCAGCCGTGAACGCTTCTTTATCGATGGAGAAAATTTAACTCAGTTGGCCAAAAGATGGCAGAGATATTTACAATTTTCTTTGTTCAGTGAATTTCTGAACGCCCTATATAATTACCTAACAAAAGTGTCAGATTTGAATGGCATATACCAATGTGTTACAGAAGTAAACCTTCAGTTTTCATTTTTCACTATCTCAAACTTGTTCTAAATGGTCATAATTTTCTATTCTATTTTCCGATGTTCCTACAGATTACTTGGCTTTATTGCAAATCTTCTTCACAATTCACCGACTTTTTTCGGCAACAATTGTTACTGAGAAGCTAGCAATGCTGATTAACCTTCCACTACACTAAAATTCGTCTTTCATGTGATCATCGAGATGGAACGATCTCGATATGTATGCATTCTGTTTTGCACTGTAACTCGCCACTCCACTGAAAATGATCGACTTTGTTTATTTTTTAGCTTCTATCGTTATTACAGGCCTCCGAATGCTAAGTTATATTCTACACTCACATACATTATCGTAATCGGTTTTGGCTACAGTCATGATCATCTAAAAGCTTTTCGTAACCGTCAGTACAACTCAAAGCTAAGCTCACGATTTTGCGCAACCAAGATTCAGGCAATCTCGTTCCACTGATCTCTAACGGAACTGTACAGGTTCAGCCCAAAAAAGTTCCTATTTTTCAACAGTGACCATGTTGGGTTCTAGTAGTTTGAACGTAGGTCTACTTGAACAGAACTGTTGCTCTGCGCAAATGACTAGGTGTTCTGGTATGTTCGCAACCTAGCTAAGAGAGATTTATGAATCTTTTACATCACTCCTTTCCAAAAAAAGTTGATGCTTGTGGATGTTTGTGGGCTCAATCCCAGGACCTCTGTATAGCTGTTGTATTAGGTTGTGGACCAGTAATACTGGTCGGTGCTCGTGTATTTACAAAAATCTTTCGGCTATTTGGAGCCACAACAATTGCAATCTCAAATTTTAATACCAGTGGTGAGAGAATTTCGGTTTCCAACTGGTCTCAATCATATTTGCTGTTTCATCATTTAATAACATTGACTTTTAGAAACCTTTACTCTGATTATTTCCTGCAGACGAAAATTTCTGTAGTCTCTTTGAATGAATATGGAGATTGATAATTTGTATTCCTTTGATGTAAGGAAGTTTAAGGTTTTTCAATGGGCTGGATCGCCATTCCAGGGCAAGACCTCTTGGATCTATTAAACGATTTTTCTCCCAATGTGGTGTATTCGGTGCTGCATAGGTTCCTCCAAAGTATTGTCCCAAAACACAGGCATCAAAAATTATCGGTGTTCGACTAGGCCCATGGCAAAGACAGCAGCTTTCATTATCAGAATAGAACCACGTAGGCAGCTCAAACACTCCAGTTCTGATGGACTGCTCAGGAAATGCAGCAAATAAACGTAAATAGCGTGCTCCAAGTGTCATATCATTAATCATTCGTGTATTTAGATATTGAATAGCTTTTTCGCGTCCCATTGCAAAGACATTCACAATCCATTTTGCAAAATGCTCAATCGCTTTGCTATTTCGTATAAATACAAAAGATGTCACGGCTTGATTAACACTAGCTCGTGCGATGGCTATCGAAACATTACACGCATGCATACGTGTAGCAAGGTGATAGAGATCGCCGTACAGCAGATTATCATTTTCCATATGGAAAACGTTGGAAAGTCCTGTCAGGTTCATGTAGGCATATACGGCTATCAGTCGCTCAACTGTATACTGAACGAAGTTCTGATTTCCACCTGGTTTCATGGCACCACTCTCAAAATATACTCGTCGAAATTCTTGAAGTAAAGAGTTGGACCTTAAAAGTTCTTCCACAAACACAACTTCAGTTCCCAAAAGATGAAGTTTAGAAGCAGTCATATTGACGTAAGCGTCTCGGTTCAAAATAACAACCAGGAAGATATTTGGATTTGTCAATCTTACTTGTTTCAATGCATGCCATATATATGGCTGGTGTTTTGTAAAGGCTTGTTTACCAAGACACGTGAAAATCAGAGTTGGCTTTCTCATATGCAATGTGTCATTGAATAGTGTCTTTCTCCAAAAGAGAATATCATTGTATATTGAGTCATAATTCCATGTCTTGCAAAGAACAACGTAGTTAATTAGGGCAGAGAGCATAAAAAATAACATGAGAGTGAGATTTCGCTTTGAATGAACACATTTTCTTATCGTTACGTAACAACCCATGTTTCACACTTTCGGATTATTGGTTATTTACGAAGTACATACCGTTTACTCATTGACACTTCGTTTTGCTATAATACCGCTACGTAATTATTACAGTCTTCTCACGTCGAGTCCCAAAGTATATTTGTGTTAAGTTTATGCACAGTAATGGCAATGGTGGCACTTTTTTGCTAGCTAATACAGTACTTATACCGTCACACAAGAGTTGTTGAGTTGGAGCTGCAACCGATCTTTCGCGATACAAGATACCAAACTTTTATGCACGTCCTCCAGTAGCGCTAACTGTATTGTGTTGGGAAAACTAATTAAGAAAAGTACCATAAGTGGTGCAGAAGAAAGTCTCTCTGAACGATAAATTTTCTGTTATCACCTTACAATATTTCTTAGCTCTTCTTTTAGTTAGCATTCGTTCGAAAGATCTGAATATCTTGACCAAGAGACATCTAACAGACGAGAAAGACTTATTCTATGGCCAAACAAGCTTTTAGTACAGTCCATGTGGAACTAAAATTTAACTATCTATGGAGTGATTTTACTAGCGAGCAAAAGCCCTAACTATACGATCGTTATCTACAGTGGCAGGTTAGGCCAACTTATCGAAATGCTTGCTATTATCTATAAACTGAAATATCTGTCTGGCATGTTTTCTACATGTGTAATAAGATCAGTGGAGTACTAGAGATGTGACAGCTATTTTGTGAAACTCATATATATTTTCGGAGAAAATAGTGAGTGTAAGTTTTAAGTCGAAGTTGTTGGCTTCCCCATTCTCTTTTCTTCCCATTACAAAAACTTAGCGACGCAGGTCCCCATTAAAACCCTTAGCAACTAAACAAAAAAAGGAAAAATTTCTGTTCGTAATACACAAATAGAAAAGATAGCACTTGCTAACAATCGATCATCATTAGAAAAGATCTATCATCTTCTAGAGAACTTAAGCATTGTGTATTTTGTCATTCGTACAATGAAACTAAAGAAGATATGTGAGTTCCACATTTCAACTCCACAGGGGCTGTACTAACAAGCTTTTTTCTACTAGTGCCTCTCATGCCTATAATACTCGAATGATCACAGATGTGAGGGACGCTAGTAGAAAAATATCTGTCATGCTGGTGATCAGAAGAGCGTCACAGACACTTTTGCTGTTTGTTCCTTTTTCAACAAGGGTGTCGTAGAGAATTTATAAATTTATAATTCATCTAAATTTAATATTTTCCTACTTTTTGTATCTGTACATGGAAAAGTTTTTCGAAATTTTTTACTTATATCACATCCCGAACAAGGCATTAACTTCCAACTTGACTGGCTCTACAATCTGGATGAATCAATTCTTTTACGGAAAACATTTTTTATGGGTCTTTCGAGTTTGAGCTGTCAGTCTCGTATTTATATTCGGAATCAGCTGATGGATTGCCTAAAATCCGCTAGATTTGGTGAAAAATCGATTAGACATGTAGGGGGTTTCTCTCGTGAGATCAGATGAATACTTGTGGTCATTAGAGTTTTGCTTTTTTTCTGTATCATTTCATTCGACTACCTGTCTCGCACACACATTGGATGAACTTGAGATAAACTAAACTATTAGACACAAAGCAATTTATATTGTTGTTATTGTGAATTCAAATCCATTATACCGCATAAAACGATGTTCTCGTTCGAAAAATATGTGATAAAATACATTTCAAACTCTCTGTGATCAGTAGGAGTTCTTCCTTAGAACTTGACTCGTCAGTAGTATTGTTGTATCTATCGTATGCATTTTGTATTTTCTGCATGGCATTAAATTGCATTCTCTGTATTCAAAATGCATTATAGGTATCTCTATCCTATCATCTGTGTCTGTACCGTAGCCGGGATGCCGAGAATCCATTTTCCTCTTTGACAATAAGTCTAAAAGTGACAGATTAGAACAATATTTTGAGCCCGCAAATATGCAAGCAAAATAATTCTACAGATGAGTTCTAAAGAATTTCATAGAATGAACAAACAATACGATAAAAACATGAATTGTTCAGAAATTCCAGTAAAACCCACATCAAGCTCTATAGGAATGGTTTGTCTTAGTTTCCATAGGATTTTGTGCTATTGAACTCCATGGTCTCCCACAACTTCAAAAGTTGGGATTTTTATTGTTTTTAATGGTATCCAATGATAATTTCTTCAGCATCCGACAAGTTTCCTAGTAGGTGTCTACATACCGCTTTTTCTCTCTTCGTCATACTGTTAAAATTCAAGATCTCGACGATACAGCTCTGCTAGATCTTCTGAAGACTAGTTGCATATATTTCTGCTCACAAAAATCGACACTCATACGAAAATTGATAGGCCACGAGAATAAAAGTAAAGAGAAATCTATAGAAGAACCAACGTTGTGAAGAAAAATTAGAATTTCTCAATCAGTGTTTTTCCTTTAGTAAAAAGTGCAAGTCGCATAGAAAGAGCCGAACAAAATACGCTCTAGTAAAAACAAATAGTACTTTCTATTTGAATAAACTTCTAGTACATGTTCTGATTTCGAGTAATTACTCGATTCCTTACTGGATTTTCACCAAGTACTTGGAACCGGTATCCGGCATTTCTAATGTGGGCGGATGTGTGAAAGTGGAGTGTTGAGTGTTTATGTGTTCAAAGACAAACCTATCAGTACACCTGCTAAGAAAGTTTTAGCTCGATCATACTTATTATGTTGGAGAAACGAGTCGCTTCTACATTTTTTAATGTAAACATTGATTTCGAGAAAAACGAAAAAAAGTTTTCTGTAAGTGTCGAGATTTGTCTGTCCAACTAAAATGATAGAAAATTGACTATGTCCAGCAGTGTTGGAGATCAATGACCCATGCTCTAAGCACTTTTGAAATGGGAAATAATTATTTCCATTAGGAGAATTTCACATACAAAAACTAATCTCAACGTTAATCCTTTTGCTAGCGATTTCGAGGGTTGGTCTTAATAAAAATAGTAACAAACAGCGAAGAATTCTCATTCATATGGTATTTGACAGAAAATAAGTCGAAGTTATATTAGTGATGAAGAAACCAAAAATGGAAAGTAATCGTTTTTAGAACTCGGCAAGAAAGCAGGATCCTCTTAAATGCTGTCATTCGTGAACAGTCTGTTCGCTGCAGTACAATGGATTGCAACTTCAACCGTCCTTAGCTTCATATTCACTGAGTGATGTTATATCAATGCTACTTGTAACATTATCACTCGTAAACGAAGGTTGTCGTATAGGTGTGGGTGTGGATGGTGCGGTGTATCTGTGGGTATGGGCTTGAGTCAAAGTGTCAGAATGGAAGAAACTTTTCATGTCTAGGTGTATCTACGGATCAGAGTGTAGGTACAGGTATCCATCTTCTCTGCATCCATTCACTTTCATGCACACATTCACACCGGCAACCACACCCAGAGTGACGCACCGTCACAGCTATACCAATATTCTACACACACACCCAACTAGAAATGCTACTTTCCCATTGCGTTCTTAGGATAGGAAACGCCCGTCACGTTCCCATTTCCAGGAACGGAGAAAGTATAACACTCGCATCAATAGCTATCCACAGAAGTATACAAACATCAATATGTTGAAATAATGCTAGAAATCGAAATTTTGTGTCGCGTTCTCGTTAGTAGGAACGGAACGCAAAAGTCACACTACTAATTGATTGGATGTGAGTGTGATCCGTGTGCATGGGTGGCAAGTGAATTATTATAGGGTGGGAGTGGTTGTGAATTGAAGATATGCTTGAGAAGCGAGTTTTAGTTTGTGGCTATGAATTTAGTCAGCTGTGTGTTGAGCTTCGCTGTAGAGTATAGACGGGATACTGTGGATTGGTGTGAGTTGCCTGTTGGTTTGAATGTGTTTGGTGTTGGTGTAGAGAATGATGGAAGGTGAGCGTTCAGGTGTGCATGCGGATGTAGGCTGAGCATGGATGCGGATCTGACTGTGTGCTGTAGAAATGAGTATGGATATGGGTGTCAGAGATGGAACCGATGTAGTTTTTTTCAGATCGGTACCGGTACCGATCTAACCGTATCAGACCGGGCCGGACTGGCCGGTAGCCCGGTAAAACCGGTCCAGACCGTCAAAACTGCTCTAGACCGGCAAAACCAGTCTACCGGTAAAACCGGTCTGTCTGTTGAAGCCAGTCTGTACCGGTAAAACTGCCTTACCAATAATACACCCAGGTTGAAAAATCTGACATCAGATCGTACAGGATCTTATAAGATCTTGTAGTCTGAACAAAATCTTACAAGAATCTGACAAAAAATCGTAGTCTCTGATTTCTTACACTAAGTCGTANGTTCTGTCGTCTTTCTACATGATACATATCATATGTGTGTTCAAAGAAACACATGTATTCTTCGATGTGAAAATATTTTTTTTCGCACTGAACTAGTGTAGTTAGTAATTCGTGTACAGCTGATTATATAGATCAAAACGCAAGAGAGAGAGA